CTGCTGTTTGTCTGGTCACACGGGCCACAGATTACTGCCCCTGCTACAGACACACACACACACACACACACACACCGTAAACCCACGGCCTCTGATTAGTTCTGGTTCCTCCATAGAACTGAGCCCCACTGGATATCTTTAACTACCTAAAGTGTGAATCTGACAGTGCTGTGATTACAGCACATTGCATCACTCTGCTGTTTATGTCCCGCTCTACATTCATAGACATCCCCACTCTCTCTCTGTCACCCTGATACTGAATCGCTTCACATTTTCCCCGACGCTCTCAGCCTGTCAGATGACATCCACTGTTAAGAGGCCTCTTCAGACTAAGAGAATAACGTACTGTATATGTTTAGTGGAAAAGCACCCTGGGGAATCAAAAGGGATTCAAACATATGTACATATATTCATCCTGAAGAGACGTCGAGTTTAAGTGAAGCAAAATGAAACAAAGAGATCCATCATTTGCATAGAACAAAGCGACAGAAGAGTCATTATTCTGGACCATTCAATTCAATCAAATAATCGTATGCCCAAATATTCAGCTATCATGTCATATGCACAATTATAAGGCAAATTTAAGAAGATATATAAAAATATTTGTGGTGATATCAAAGCTGCTTTTAGATATGCACTGAATTTGAACGTGAGTTTCACAGTGGAATTTATGCATCATGTCCTGAAGTCTCTTTGGTCTACCCACATATCACCTATCGCCTGGATGTTAAGAACATTTATCCTGTTGTTGTGAATGCGTCTGACCTGCACAAGCTCCTGCAGCTTGCGACTGTACTCTGAACAATTTCCGGACCCAATGCTCACAACTTTTTCCACAATTCCTGTGTGAAAACAGCTAAAAAAAAATCAGCCTTCAGCAAGAAACTGAAAAAGTCTATACTGCTGATGATTAGCCTAACTGCTCGCTATGTTCTGAATTAATGACTTTAGCTGGGAGCCACCACAGTCGGAGGCTGAAACAGCTCTAATAGATAATATAATTGCGAGGCATTATAGTTCATGAAAGTATCTTAAAAACCAGAATATCCCTTTAAGCGTGGGCGAGCTTTGTATTGTCTGCGCCTTCATTTTGTCCCGTACCCTGAAGTGGTGAGCAGACAGACGGAGAAAACTGAGTGAGAATGATCATTGCATTATTCATGCTGAATGCAATGGCCTCAAGCTCAGTCCGTATGGCGAGCTGGGCCACGCAGCGCTGTGATAGGTTAAGGTGGCCATCATCAGGAGGCAAGCAATGAGCACTCAACTCAAACGTTGAGTCTGAGATGAGCATCTTTACCCGTCTGCTCGCTGTGTTTTACGTGGCACATGCAGCCACTGACGCCTACCTGCACAAACAAGCAGACACAGGAAATGATATGCACTCTCCACTTTCACTGCCAGCCACGATTCGGCAACCTTTTCTTTCTTACATCACCGCATCCCGCTCATGTCCTCCCTCCTCCCCCTGTTTTTCCCTCCTTCAGTCCACCGAGCTTTTGAAGCACTTTCCCTTTTCATCCCTCCTTTTCTCCTCCTCCTCCTCGTCCAGCCCTGAAATGTTGATCTGTGACTGAGCTTGTTGCGTCTTTTATCGGCGTCTCGCAGCGGCCCGTGGACAAAGGGCAGCCGAAATGCCACGATGTCTTTATATTCCGCGCAGATGCAGAGCCGTGAAAAGAGAGTGGTGTTCAATCATCTGCACTCGGAAGGCTGAAATACAGTAGGGGATTGATGGAGGCAGACAAAGAGGAGGAGCGCGGAAGGATCGGAGGGGTGGGGGCTCATTTTGTAATTGATTATGCTAAATCCCAACCCAGGAACTAAATGAGAGGCTAGACAGCGGATAACGAGGCAAAGAGTCTTTATTTATCATCCATTAGTTTTTTTTCTCATCGCCTCTCCGTCCACATGCAGAAAAAAAGCCTCATTTGAAATGTTAAGCTTCTTCCAGTAGATAACTTTATTCTTACCTTTAAGAGCTTCCAGTCTCAGCTTAAAGGGCAAAGGTCAGCTAGCCGCCACCTTTTAAATCCACTGTATGTATGAACTTGAGTAGGTGTATGTGACATTGTGTGTTAATCCTGTATCAGTATCTATTTAATCTGTCTCTGTCTGTCTGATCCCTGACTCCCCGCACATCTAATCTCCAAACCCTTCTGCCCTCACGACCCTCTGTATGTCTGTGTTGTGTGTTTATGGATTAAAATATCCAAATATTGTTCAGAGCAATCTGTGCTGCACTTAAATCTGTGCGTGTCAGCCAGTCGCCGTCAAAAGGAACTTCTGTTATTACCCCTCCGAGCACCACTGTCCCCTTCACAGGGTTGAACTAGGATCATTTCAAAGCACAAATCAATGCACCAATAAGCCTCTGAGGACACGTCTCCTTACTGTACCTCGCCATAACCGCCAACTCCTATCTCTTTGGGAAATGTTTTACTACACAATGTTTTATGCCAGGATGAAGGACACTAGAAATCGATAAACTTGTGCTGTCTCGACTCAAGGAAATCCTGACTTTGCAAGTAGTTTTTGTGAAACCTCACAAAGGGAGAGATTCTTGCTGCATGCATTAACAGCAGTATGCTAACGTGGTCACAATGGAGACGTGCAATGTGCTGCGATGGTGTAATGTTTACAACTTGAGTTGGGCCATAGACTGTATATAAAAAAATTAACAGCTCGCCAAAAGTGAAGCCCAATCACGTGCTATTAAAGTGCTGGAAAAACAGATGAATATTTGGTCTTTCAGTGTTCCTTTGGGTTTCATTCTGAGAATTATGATTTGAAAACAAATCACTGTACACGTGTGAATGTTTCACCACCAGCTCAATTCATTTTCAATGCATATTTTAGTTATAATGAAAGCCATCGCCATGCTCGCTGCTATGGAAACTGAAGGGCATCTGAAGGTTGCCTCACTTCAAGAAAGCACTAATAGCATGCATGCAGTGGGCTGCAGTCGGCCCACCTGGAAATGAAAGGGGGCGAGCAGGGGAGGAGATAGAGATGGGGGGGATTGGAATGATGGGGCAGATGGATACAGTATGCACACTCGCACAATATCCCAAGAGGCTCACAGCTTTCCAGACAGTGTTGTTATGGATTCAGTGAGTGTGTCCTGAAAGACAATCCCATCTTTAGCCTGACTGCGCCCACACCTCCGCTCATCCTCCGTCTGGAGGAAAAGAAAATTTGAATATTCTAAACTTGGCATGCTGGGATTTTGTTTCTTAATCCCGCTCCTCTCTTGAGAAGCCAGAGACCCTGGATGAGCCTGTTTAGCACAATGAAATGCAAGTCTGCTCCAAGAATAGGATCATAGCAGAAAACTATTCAAAAAAATATGGGAGTATAATTATTAATTAAAGAAAGAGAAGAGGGAAACCCTGATGAAGACCACGGGAGTTCATACCCCCACCAAGGCTAACTAACATCCTTAACTAACAAAGTTATGTCCCGTCTTTCCACCAAGTTCTGTGCGTTTGCGTTATCCTGCTGACAAACAAAGAGACAGGGGTGGAATCATAAATGACATGCAGGTAATCAGGTGGAAACCCAGAGTCCATGTGAAATGTTTTGCCTCTAAAACACTTAATATATTGTGTGTGTGTGTGTGTGTGCGCGCGCGCTGTTTAACCCTTTTACCCCTTTCTATCTCCATCCCCATGAATATTGAACAGGGAGAGAGGCACTTTACCCATTCAATACACTCCAGGAATTTACAGTGGCATGTTCACTTTATGAAGATGTATTGGTCGCCCTCAGTGCTCGTGTGCTCGTGTGTGTGCTTGTTTGTGTGTGTGTGTGTTTGTGTGTGTGTGTGTGTGTGTGTGTGTGTCTGTGAGTGTGTCTGTGTGTGCTGTTACGAGGCTCATAGGTGCTGTACCTTTGCTGTTGTTTATGCATGTGTTGGAGCATCGAATCAATCCATCTGCGTTGTGTCGTGTGTAAATGTGAAGTAAAATGAAAATGGATCTGACCCTGAGGTCTATTGTCCCAGCACTGCCTTTACACGCCCTTGACTGAAATGGCTCAGTAAATCCCGAGCACAGACACGATAATGCACCCAGACAGAGAACGTGAGAGGAAGAGGGGAGGTAAACTTTAACTGTGTCTCCATACAACTGTCAAGCAGGTGTGAACATTTAGAGTAAAAAAAACAATTTTTGCCATATTTTTATCATGAGCCAGTTTCTTGAATGCATTTTTAAAAGCGCAGTATTTCAAATTTGATGTTACAAAGTCAAATGTTATCATCTCACCACACAATCGCAGTTGAGCCTTCTGCGTCCACAACTGCTTGTTCATTCACTAATTCCTACACAATAAACACAATTATTTAACTCTATAGTAAGCATAAAATGTAATCATATATATGGAGGAATTATTGTCATTGTTTTTATTATATTTTGATGAGACTGTTGTGGACCTGCTCTCAAGACTTTTGATTTATTTTTGTTGGTATTTTGATTTTCAGTTGTGTTGGTTTTATATCTGTTGTTTTGCTCTTGCTGTTTTACTTTGAAGCTTCTTTCCTTGTGTCTCTTTCTTAACTTCCTGTCTTTGTCTGGTTTCCCTCCTTCGAAATTGTCTGCACCTGTGTCCAGAGTTTCATTATCTCTCTCTTCTTCTGTATATAGTCTCTGTGCTCATCTCCTCTGTCAGTTCCTTGGTTAACATCCCTGGATTTTACAGTTTTTCAGTTTTACTGGTTTGTCCCTGTTGCTTCCTGTAGTTTCTTGAGTTTGGACTTTTGCTTGTTTGCCTGCTTTATAAAGTATTCTCTCTGCCTGCGCTTCACTTGACAAACTAATGTTAATGTGAGGTCGTGGCGTTTTAGAAAGTCAACAATCACAGGACAGAACTGTTTGATGAAGACAAGTCGTCCTCTTCACCCGCTATGTGCCTGTTCTCTCACAACACCCACAAGACCTATCCATTTCTGTCATTGTCTTTAATTACTAAATAGTTTGTCTTTCCGTCTTATGTCTCAGGACACCTCTCCTCATCCTCCCGTCTCTGCCTCACCAGACAAGGACGGGCGAGGACGATGCGATTCTGCGGTCCGCACAGGGATTTCATTATGGCTTCCATCCAGAGGAACAAAACAGCAGTAAACAAGGTCTTGCACAAGGACAAACATACCAACGGGCCACGCTGGAGTTTTTCACGCTGCATTTTCTCGAGGTGAGAGCATCACACGTGCTGCTGTTCCTTGGTGGGGGTGCATGCTGTGCGCTGTGAAATAGCTTTTTGGAGCACAGTGTTTGTGCCATTATGTTGAAGATGTGGAACTCCATGCAGACCTAGCTCCATCACTAATGTATGTCTGTCTGCAGCCTCCCCCACCTCAGACACATACTTTCACACACGCGCACCGAAATGAGGTCAGATGGTGTCATGAATGTCTCGGCTGTGCGTCCTCCAGCTGTTCTTGCCGTACTGTGCGCGTGTGTGAGTCTGTGGACAGTCGTGATAAAATAATTGCCACCCATGGAAATAGTTTTGTTGTTTGTTGTTCTTTTTCACCGCCATCATAACACCAGTTTCTTTCCTTTTTTAATTTTTATGTCGACCATGAATAACATCCAATGGCTGCCACAGTTTTGAATAATCGTCCAGTCCTTGACGTCTTCATGCTGAAACAGCCCGTCGATGCAAAATTCCTCCTATTGCAAGATGTTTGAGGTTTTCTTTTGTACACTTGGTATCATTGACATGACATTCTCTTGACAGAATGTCTGGTGTGTGCCAATAACATCTCTACTGTTCCTATGGCCAAACTCTGTTTTTGATTTGTCTGCACATTATTCTAAAAGACCTGGTCTTTCCCTATATATATATTCATTTGCAAACTGTAGTCTGTCATTCCTTTTTAACAGTGAAGGCTTTTTCCTGGCACACACTCCCATACAGAAACCCTGCCTACAGATAAAAGTGATAAACTTGAACAAATAAGACATAAAATCCACATCCACAAACAGTATTGTGGATGTCAGAGTCTGGCAAGGAATTAAAAAAGATCTGTTTTATTTGAAATGAGTCCTTCCACTGTACATGTGCCCGGGACAGAACTGCAATCCAAAATTTCATCACAGAATCAGCAGGTAACTCTTGCAACTGTTTGGTGTCAAAGTGCATGCGTCTGCAATCTTAGAGAGATTGCACAAATTTGACCTGCATGGGAGCGTGCCAGGAAAAAGCTTTTGCCTTCCAAAAGGAACATCAGAGCGAGAGAACAGTTTGCCAATGACTATATAGGCAAACACCAGGCCTTTTGGAATGAAGTGCAGACAAAGCAAAAGTGGCAAAACCCCTCAAATATCATGCAACTCGAAGAATTTAGCACGGGCTAAATTTGCACATGGTTTGGTCGTGTGTGTGTAGGCGTTGGTGAGGTTACTGTCGGGGCATGGGTGGTCACCGTAGCGTGTTGTCTGATTGGCTGACTGGGGGGGGGTTGTTTACATTGTATCTCTGTGCCCAGTGAAGAGGAACAGACCCCCTGCAGACTGTAGCCAGTGCACCAGACAATCATCGCGTGCGCACACACACACACACACACACACACACACACACACACACTCACACACTCCCCTGCAGCACTGACAGTGTGGAGTT